AATGTAAAATGCATACAAGTAGCAAATGGGAAGAAAAAGTGTGTGTGAGTGTGTGTGAGTGTGTGTGAGTGTGCGTGTATGCAAGAGAGAGGGGGAGGGGAGCACATGTTAACTTGCTTAACAAGGGGAAGGGATAGCAAGTTTTTTTTGCTGGCCACACCAATTCTATCCTACCCCCCTAATGCTATACGACGAGAATGCTAATTAAAATTGCTATCTCTTTTGAGAATATCCCTGGTGCTAAATAATGATGCTATCCCTGTTGCTAAATATCCTTAATGATAAATAATGAAAATATCCCTGTTGGTTGATATTTAACCAAACTCAGAAGTTATATAAGAAGTTAGAAAGGAGGGTGGGATTTGTACAATTTATACAAATTGTATGAAGAAAATGAAAGGCAACACATTTTTTATGCAAGAACTATGAGTGATGGACTTGATGCTGTCCACCAACATTATAAAAAAAATGAAATTCAGCAATGCTGAGTAATTGACCCTTCCCATAAAATCAGAATGTATGTTTGTGCTTAATTGGAACTACTTTAGCTAAAACTGAGAGAAATTTATTTCTTCTCCTAGCCTTTTTTCTTATCCTGTAACTTGTGAAGGCACTCTTTTTGTTCAACCAAGTGAAATATGTTATGGTGCTGACTTAGAAGTAATTGCACCTGCCCTTATATTATTGATGTACAGAAACTGTCATAAGCAAACAATGTAAATGTCAAAGATTCTTTAATAATATAAGGACCGTGCACTTTCCTTTTTTAGACTAAACAATTCTCCCCCCCTTTTTTTTTTTTTTTGGAAAATCCAATATTTTGGACTATATTATCAGTGCTGCATTTTTCATAGTATGGCGATAGGCCTCCTGAATCCAGTTTGCTTGTGAGTGGCTGCTTCTTGTTGTTGCCAGAAAACTCTAGGAAACTGCTGGTTGGCTGCCCTATATAATGATTGTTGTCCCTTTTATGAATATTGTCTCTGTAATGTATGATTTTAAAAAGTTCCATTCAGTTAGAGTATCTGACTGGATCCTATGTTATGTATGCTATAATGCCATGTAGATCAAACCACTGGTTGGGTACAGACTCATCCTGTTGAATAAACAGTTTACCTTTTCTCAAAATATTATTCCGTTCATGATTTAATAGTCAATAGTGTTTTGTAGCACATGTATTTACTTGTAAAAATGCAAATACTTATGTAGGTCTAAAAGCAGATAAAATGAATAAAATTGACACTCAATTTCAGGAACACCCAAGAATCTACGCTTTTAATTACTTAGAAAATCTAAGTAAGGGTTATACCTATCTCTCATATTCTTCTGGAAATAAATCCCAAAATCAATATTTATAGTTGAGAAGGAATGGAAGCTTCAATAGATAACATTAAAAGTAGTACTGTAATGATAATGGAAAATGTGAGGCAGATGGGGAAAAGATAAACCATGAATTCTGGAGGATGGCTACCTCAATATTTCACTTCTCTTATAATTAGTTTTTAAAACAAGCTTTTATCAAAAATCCATTTCAGAATAGGGAATTTCAGTTAGGATGATGACTTTTCTACTAAGTGTCATCTTCAGAGCTGTTAACTTTGTCAAATTCTGTCATATTCTAGAGCATCAACTTCTAGAGTGCCATAAAAGGAAGGCTATTGTTGTATCTCTCTCCTCCCTACCCTAGTTTTACATGAAGTAAGGCAGTGCATTTGACTGTAAAAGTTACATGTTTGAAACCCATGTTGATCACTAGGCTCACTATCTAGTAGGGTTTAGAATTCAAGATTGACATCTCAGTGAGCAAATGTTATTAAATCCCATCTAACATGCTACCATTTTTCTCTTAGGTAGCTTTAAGCTAGGCCTCAAACAGAGTCCTCTGTCATTTTAGAGATTAATGGAGAGAAGGTTTTAAGGTTTTTTTCCCCTAAATGGTGTTGTGTAGAAGACCTATACAAGAGGGTATTGTTCATGCATTTTGATTCTTCACCCATGGTTTGGATGAACACGTAATATGGTCCCTGTTAAAAATGAACTGCTCACAAAATGTTTAGTCAGCAGCAGTATTATATTTGAGAAAAACACTGCTGTTTTTATTAGATAGCACAGTTCTCAGGATATTGTTGTTTACCTCATATGTTTGGTTTGCATAGCTCCTGAATCTTTTGTATCAGTATTTTCCTCCTTCATGTTGTATGATTACTGCTGCCTGAAGGGAGAGTGCAGAAGGCTTCGTTGGCTTCATTGGCCCTATCTTCTTAGTACTTTCTTTTGCTGAAACTGTAGGTTTAAATAGAACAGAATATATGTAGCTCAGGTTTGAACTGTAGAGTCCATGGTGCTCTCTGAGCTTGGTTGTTTGCTTGCCGACATCTCATCACCCAATTAGGTAACATCATCAGTGCAAGTAAGTGTGGGATTTGCTCCCTGTAGTTTTACAGTAGTTTGCCCTGCCAGTGTTGGTGGGGTGTGGTTTTCTCCTTGGTAGTTCCTTGATTAGGGTATTGTTTCCTGCTTGATTGTTTGTCTCCTTAGTAGTTTCTAGAAGAATCACGCAGATTTCTGCTTGACTGTTAGTCTGGTGTTAATTCCTGTTTATCTGGGTGTTGGCTGCTGGGGAGGAGGTGTTCTTGACTTTTTGTTTTCTTCTGTCTGTGAGTCTGTCCACATGTTGTGAGATTAAGGAGTTTTCATCATGTCTTCTGACTGCTAGTTGGTGTTCATGGATATGCACTGTTAGTCTTCTGCCTGTCTGTCCTACATAGTGGCTGTTAAAGTCCAACATACAGTCCAACATACACCAACCATAGTTTCAACTGGGAAACTGTGAGCATCCTAGACAAAGCTAAATCCAAAAATGCCAGGGAATTACTGGAAGCTTGGCATCCAGACAAATCGGCCATCAATAGACACACAGAGATAAACCACATTTACAAACCATTCAAAAAAGATAATTAGAAAGCTAAGAAGGAAACAAAAAGACCAGAACACATCCTCTCCAGAAACCAACACT